AAATGAATCAACCGCCCTCACCCCATACCTCTGCAATCTTCTTGCTCAGTACCTTCGCGATCTTCTTCCGTCCAACAAGCGTGTTCATCCGTTCTGAAACCATGTTCTCCCGATCCTTCGGATCAAGCTCCTCAAAAGCACGGATAAATGCCTGCGGAGTCGGCCACCTCCGTTGAATCTCAAGAGCCTTTTCGCCTGTCACACCCCGGATGCACATGAGCATTTTCAGGAACACGTCACGGAGGGTCAAGACGTCGGATTTGGAGGTTAGGGCGGAGAAGGTGGAAAAGGTCACGGCGTAAGTGGTCTTGGGGCTCTCTGCTCGGAGACGTTCCAGGGCTGTGAGGTATGATTGGGAGGAGGAGAGCTGGCGACTAGGGATTAGACTGAGGCTGTTGGAGGGTGGTTCACCGTTGGCAGAGGGGCTGTTGAACATTCTGCGCAACAGGAGGGTCATTCTAGCTAGGTATTGGATCGTGTCGTCGAGGTTCTTGGTTCTCTTGACGAAGTAGCCGTTGACGACTTGTGTTGAGGCTATGGCAGAGGCTACCATCTCATTGTATTTGCCTGCCATGGCGCTGTTGGGGTCTGAGGGGACGGTGAACTCTTCGATGAGGTAGATGACGTTTTTTACGCCTGAACGACGGAGACGGAACTTTTGTTCGTGGAACCGTCCGTCTTTCATGGAGCTGATGAGATCGTCGATCCTCTTGCGCTCAACGATCCAGTCGAGCATGACTTCGTCGCCTTCTTCGCCGTATTGGGATAGGAACGTTGGGTTGTGGAATTTGGCTACCCACATGACGTCGCCTAGTTCTAGTGCGCGCACTTCAGGACTGGCTCCCTTTTTGTGTAGTTCGTTGGTAATGTAATCCCTGTCTTTGGATGAGCGGACTTCGCGATTGTCCAGAACCAGCTGGACTGTGAAGCTATCGGGGGGGATTGTTATGGGGGTTACTGTTCCGTCTGGGGTAGGTTCCCATCCTGGGATATCGTTATGGGCTGTGGGTGCTTCTTCGTCGTCGATTACCTCTGTGATGTTGCCACCCATGCTGTCCTGCAACTGGGAGTCCCCGGTGTGGGTTGTACTTGACCCCTACGTAGATTAGATATTGTCGTAGCAGAGTAGGTATGGCTTTGTTACCGAATGATTCCCAAACGCCAAAGTGCCTTGATTTGACGGCAGGGCGACCTTTTTCATCCTTTTCGCCACCTCCCATCCCTCTTCTGTGAGTGCGTACTTTTTCAGAGGGCGCCCAAAATCATATACAATCTCCTTCTGCAAAAGCGTCTTCATTGAGCTCCAGGCAGTATGGAATTTGGACGACTCGGCAGGTGCCGTGAACGAACTGTCGCAGTTCGGCTGCGCCAAGTCAATCAGTTGTGCCTTGGTTAGGCCTTGAGAAGAGTTCTCATTAAGGGTTGCCAGGGCTAGGATCAACGCATAAGGGCCCGATCGTAGAGTCGGGACATAAGGCCTCGCCTTTCGAGGTTTCTTGGCTGGCTGGCTTTCTGCCGTGCCCTCATCGGATGCTCTTTTGCTGCTCGCCGCTACGATTCTTAGACCTGCTCTGCTCGAAGATGACAGTACTACCATGACTTACATTTTTGAGGATGCTCGGGCATCGGCAGCGCATTTTGTTCACAGTAAGCCTTTAGCTTCTCGGTCAAGCGATCACATAGTTTTGGGCCAAGTCCGTTTAGCTGCTGAGCCTCGGAGGGGTGTTGAAAAACCAAGGGACAGGCTTTCATCGACTCGTAGGCCTTTCTGTATCTGTGCATTATTCAGCATCAAACCCCACTACTGTATCGAGTTATGGGACAGCACTGACACTATGGCACCTTTGCTGTTGCGTTCTCGAGCCTCGTCTAGCCATTCTTTGATCCACCCCAGTAGTAGGGGATTGGCACACGTCTCACTCATAGTTCCAAATTTAATCGCAATGACATGGTGCGGGAAGAGACAGAAATAAGGGTGTCAGATTATCAATCTCATAAGCGATTCTGATGTTTCTGAATAGAAAACTAAAGTGGTGTTCTAGGCCTGGGAGGCGGAGATCGAATCTACTGGTCTGGAACGCGGCATCGGGATGTTCTCACGCGTATTTCCTATTTCGGCAGAATTGCTTTGCGCCACATAAAGCCACATGTGTGGCGGTGCTGCTACTACAATAGGTTTTGATTGGCTGGGTTGTCAAGTATGCAGTCGCATCAGCGCCATTGATCTAAAGCATAACGCGTCCCAAGAGGTAATTGGAAATCGAAGACATCGATCGATCGATCGGGTAGTAAGTTACTCTGAAATGCCCCTGAGCTAAGAAGATTGGGTCGAGGTACCGTATGCTGACGCACTCCTGAGATTCCAGGCTTTTGCACGATCGGTTCGTGACGACACAGCCATGACGTATTGCCTACCCCGGCTTTCAAGAGAACCTCAAAGCGCATCTCCTTTCCCAATTTTGAGCCCATATTTGCTTCTATTATACATGCATTAACACTAAGTTCTTGTGCAACATGTCACGGAGGGATCCCACAAAACCAGCAGAGCCTGTCGCGTATAGCTCGAAGACCAGCGGCAACGATATCTTCGCGGCTGATCGCGTCACCACTGAGATTAGCGGTCCAACAGACAGTCATGTTCTTTCTAAGGTGGATCAAGATGAGAAAGGGCTGGCTCAGAAGGCTGGACAAACGGACACTGTCACGGATGTGGGCTGGAATCAACACCCCGACGAGCTTGACGAGCAGATTGTGTCCGGAATCTCAAACGAAGATCTTTGGATGCTTATTCGACGTTTCAACAAGGTACGGCGCCTGCACCCTTCAATACTGGACCACAGACTGATTCAAACACAGCAAATCTATTATGTGAAAGCAGTGCCGCATTCCCCCCTGCAACGACTGGACCTCAACCGGGCCGAAGATGAGCAATTCTCCCCTGATAAACTGCGCGCTACCCTTGAGCGATTCTACACTACCATTATCGTCTCGTTAACCTCATTCGTCAATCACATTGCCAGGCTACGCTCATGGAGGGAGCGCCAACGAACAGCGGCATTTTGTGCTGTAGGTTATAACTGGACGTCTTTCATCTCTGACTCGATTGACTGGTGTTGAATTTTAGGTTTATTTTGCTGCGTGGGCCTTGGATCTGCTTGCTCCGACCATCTTCACCCTTCTAATAGTGCTGGTTATTAGTCCTGATAGCAGGTCATACTTGTTTCCTCCTGCTCCTATAGCTCTAGTGGACAAGGATACCGGTGGCGTGCAAAAGCCCAAAGCCGGCGTCTTAGGTTCCCATGATAGTATCACTGGGGCGCCCGAGAATATGAAGGGTGAAGCTGCTGAACAGGAGGCTAGCAACCTCTTTACAAGCGTTGCTAGTGTTGCTGTTGGTAGTGTTGCCGGCAAGCATGATCAAGGGACACCTGATGATGCCCCAATGGAAGATAATGCTCCAGATGTGATGAAGCTTGCTACCAGCGCAGCAGATGCCCAGACAGCTGCTCGTGGGGAAGCCCCGGACGAAGCTCATGATAAGACTAGGCAACCCATGAGAGATACCGTTTACAACGGTGCTAACATGGCAATGCGCGTGCTGAGCGACATAACTGACACTTATGAACGGTTTGGCAAGTATGTACAGACCGCAGCACCGAAAGCCACACACTTACATTCTGACATGCTATAGTGCTTTGTCACCAACTCCTCCATTCTCCATCGTGACTCCCTACGTTCGCCTAACAGCGGTGCTATCTGTTGGCTTCCTGATCTCACTCATCACCTCCAGCTACGTATTTGTCAAAATGACTACTTTCGGTACTGGATTCGCCTTCTTCGGCGACCCGATTATCTGGCGTGGTGTGGCCTACTTGAACCGCGAGTACCCTCGATGGGAGAAACTGCTCGAGCTCCAGAAGTACGCAACCCCGGTCTCTTCAAACAAAAAAAGATTCACGTAGTGCTAACACTCCACTAGCTCCCTGCTGAAAGGAATCCCCACCAACGCACAACTCACCTTAACTCTTCTCCGAATCGGCGAAGCTAACGGTGCCCCCCTCCCACCACCACCATCCCACTCCCTTCACCAAACACCATACCACCCGGCCCCCATCAACGACAAGGATATCAACATCTCCGCCTCAGAAGAAGAAATCAACCAAGCAATCGCCCCCTCCCCCGAACCTGTCATCGAAGAACACGAAGTACACCCCAAGCCCCACAAGAAAGGCTTCATGAACCGCATGGTCGGCTTCTTCCGAGGCACCACCGCCACAGGCATCCAGAGCAAGCTCGCCGTTGACCGAGCCCGCGCAGCTGCCGGCTCCAAGCACGCCAAACCCCGCGTCGGTGTGCTCCGCAGCAAAGGCAAACTCACCCTCCCATCCGGCCCCATTCAATTCGACGGGCGATACAAAGGCAAGCGGGGCGTCGTGGTCCTCGATCAGTCCCAGAAGCCACCGCTGCTTTACTTCACGACGGACCAGACCGTGCAGTTGGATAAGCCTAGTCTGGAACATCGGCCGAAAGGCACAGTGCTGTTCACGATGCCTGTGACGGATATTCTGGAGATGAGGAAGGTTGGTGGACTCGGGTGGAAGGGGAAGTTGGTCACGGGCTGGGCTGTGGGTGAGAGCAAGGAGGTGGTGGATGGAATGGTGCTTACGGGGAGGTTGCCGGAGCAGAAGTATCAGCTTACGGCTATGAAGACTCGCAACCAGTTGTTTAATCGGCTGGTTGCTATTGATGGACAGGTTTGGGAAAGTTATTGATCTTGGTTTGGATGCTTGCTAAGGTGTTTTTTCAGGTTTGGAAATAGTGAGGTCGAGGGTTGTCGAGGTGGTATGTGGTATGACGGTTAGGAACTTGTGCATATGGGGAAGTTGAAGCTATGGTCATAATCGATGTTGTATAATGATGTTTTATTACTGTGCTGGTATCATTGTATGAAAATGGAATCCGACTTGCATGTCTAGTCATCCGTGAAGAAAACATCGTGGGCAAAGTACAGAATGTGGAGCACTAGTGTTCATTGCTGTCCTATCTCCAACTGGTAATCTCTTACTGCTTGCTCAAACGAAGAATCTCGCTTGAAACCCAAAGAAATAGCCTGAGAGTTATCGAAGCGAGTAGGCCAAGACTCCAAGATCGGCCTGAGGGTCGGATCGTCCTTCTCCGTTAACAGATCGAGCTTATCCTTCCCTGCAACCTTCTCCAAAGCATCCATCATATCCTGAATAGTGACACAAATACCAGGAACATTAATCTGTCGAATATGAGGAGGCAACGCATCCTTGGACAACGATAACGTATGAACAAGATTATGAACCAGAGTCTTGGGCGAGCACAACCAAGACTTGAACGACCTATCCTCCAGCGGAATGACGCACTCCTTGCCGTCGAGCGGCTCGCGGATCATCCCAGAGAGAAAAGACGAAGCAGCGGCCGTTGGAAGACCAGGCCGGACAGAAATAGTGGGAAATCGAAGAGTAAAGCCCGTGATGAAGCCACGACGGGTGTACTCATTGATGAGAGTTTCACAGATGATCTTCTCAGCGCCGTAGGATGACTGCGGCGTCGGGATGACACTGTCGTTCACTATTTCGGGGAGTGGCTGGCCGTAGACAGCCTGACTTGAGGAATAAATCACCCGTACGCCGGGACAGGTTCTGCGGAGAGCCTCAAGCAGGTTCCGTGTGGCGTCTACGTTGACGCTCATGCCTAGATCGAAATTGGCTTCTGAGCCGGATGACATGATTCCATGGAAGGCGTAGACGGCGTCGAGGGATTTGTCCACGACTGCGTCTGCGCCTTTCAGGAGGTCTGCTGTCACTGAACGTGCATTTTGAGGGTATGCGACGCCTGTGGGGATAGGGGGCTCGTTGATATCGGTTAGTGTGACGGTGTATGATGGATCGTTGAGGAGCTCTTTTGCGAGGAGTTGGCCGATGAAGCCGGCTGCTCCGGTGATGAGAATTTGCATTTTGGAGGGTCAATTAAGGGGATTAGTGGTTGTGGAGAGAGAGAGAGTGAGGTGTGGGAATTGATTGTTTGTTAAGGCACTATGAAGTAGACACTATCGGTAATATGCTCAGCTAGCTAGCGGTCGTCATTGTGGGATCGCCTCGCATTAACTCCGAGGGTAGGATATAGCTTGTGCTCCGCAGCCGGACTATTCCCGGCCCAAATTCCAGTCCATGACGTTTTTGCTCAGGAACTCTTGAGCTCCTTCTTGGGGATCCGCAATTGTTCTCTGGAATATGTCAGATTGCGCCCAGATAGGCTTTAAGTGAGTGGGTATTTTTATTGTTACCCTCGATTCGCCTTGTAGTTGCTTGTCGCGATAAATTGGGCGCGGGGTAAGTGGTGAGTGGAGCTGATAGAATTGGTTGATGCATTCTGTGGAATACAAAATATCAGCATCTTTGAACGACAGACAATTGCGATCTCTCTCAGTCTCCTCATCCTGCCATTGTGCGCAACAGGGACATCTGGGACTGAGACGGTCGGGGACAATTGAGCCGTGGATACCGACTGGCGGTGCCCCGCATTCCCCAGATCCCGTGCCTGTTGCTGGTCTGGAGAGAAAACAGTGAGACTCGGAAGTAGTTTGCAGCTTGTCCAGTTGAAATTGCTGTATGTCTGTAGCTAATGAGAAGTGCAAATAGTATAGAGAATACCTCTCTATAGAATTGAGCAAATCTAATATTTTATGGATCGGGTTTACCATGACAATGGGGAAGAAATGCTCGTGTCTTGGAAATCCCCAATGGCGCCAGATTGAAGCGGGGTATGCCGCCATCGCCAGATTTGTCTGTCTCCATCCCACTCACTCTTTCATCTCCCTCCATCGTTGAAGTTTTCTTCCCTCGCATCTCTGCCTCCCTCTGGACCCTTCAGTGGATATTGGTTGTTCCACCGCAACTAGTTCGAACAGACAAAGCAACACTATCTGGCTAGCTTGACATTGATCTATTGGACTTGGTCCGTCCCCACTAGTGTCAACCCCATATTGGCTGCAGAATACCGGAGCATCCCCGATCAGTTCTTAGTCCATGGTCGAGCAACCATGAAGCGCTCCTCGCAAGATGCCGACTTGGAGGCCCCACGGCCACATGAACGTCGACCCTCTCTCGTTCCTGACGGACGCCCTGCGCCACCCAAGATCTCCAAGGCCCGCGCTTGTGAGTACTCAAAAGGCCGAACTGCAACCGAGGCCCAAGCAGTTAGCTTCAAGGTGTGCTTGGGCTTTATGTAATGAGAAGTATGAAGCTGATGCTTTGGATATATAGGCGCAGAGTGTAAGCGTCATAAAATACGCTGCGAGTTCAAATCAGGAGAGGCGAGTTGCACCAAATGCATTCGTAGCGGGATCAAATGTGTGGTCAATGACTTCTCCCAGAAGTTCGTCGACGATGATGTGATGTGAGTCTCCTGCTACATTTAGGGCTTCACTCAGGGATTTGTAGTATACAAGAGCTAACACCGACTCCTCTGCGCTGGGTACAGGTGGAAATCACAAGCATCGGCTACGATACAACAGCTTCAGGCGGCAGTCTCGCATCTTCTACAACAAGGAGGTCTGCCAGACCTATCGACCTTCATCTCTGGTGACAGCCATAACGGCCCCAGTCCCGTCGGCTCTCAGTCAGAACGTCGCTTCTCATCTGAGGCATCACCAACTGATGTCAAACCCCGAGAGCCGGGTATTGTTATGGATGTGACCCGAGAGCCTTCCCAAGAACCGGATTTACAAGACCGAGAGCTAGTACCAGCACCAATGCGCAGTTTATACGAGGTCACGAAGCTCCGCAATCTGCGGAATAACCCCATAGAACAGCCGAAGCTGACGCTTCTGGAGGAGGACTTCATCTCCAGAGGGCTGATCTCGCTTCATGAAGCCGAAGAGCTGTTTGCCTACTTTAGCAGGACTATGAACCAGCTTCTCTGGGGAGGGATAGTCTTGGTGCATCGTGATCTCACGTCTGTTCGGCGAGCATCGACGTTACTGTCAGCAGCTGTTCTAACTGTCGCTGCCCTCCATATACCGAATCGAACCGAGACTCTCAACCGTTGCTACAATGAGTATGTATCGCTTGTGTCGAGCATGTCATTGACAAGGGCTCATACGCTTGATGACATTCGTGCTCTCTGCGTCGGAGCTTTTTGGCTATCCGAACTGAGCTGGAAACTTTCTGGGCATGCCGTTCGAATCGCGACGGAATTGGGCCTTCACCAAAGCTACCATAAGCTAATGCGTGGCCACAACGACCAGTATGAGCGCGCTCAGCTCTGGTATCTTCTGTATGTGTGTGACCATCATTTCAGCATCGCCTACGGGCGTCCACCAGTCATCCATGAGGATGCAGCAATCAAGAACTACGAATCGTTTCTTCAGTCACCAATGGTAGTACCCGGAGATATTAGGCTACTCGCACAAGTTGCCTTGTTTATGATCCTGACCGAGGCGTATCGGACATTCGGGACCGACACAGAGCAAGCCCTTACTGAAGAGGACTTTGGGCAGTTACGCGTCTACAATGTTGCTATAGACCAATGGCGGCTATTGTGGCAACCCCGATCTGGTACGTGCTTTACAAGACCTGCTTGGATTAAAATCGTTACGAAAGACTAATTGTCGTGACTTTGACCTGCAGCCGATAGCCCTTATGTCCGAACCTATCCCTCGAAAGGGGTGGTGCTTCACTATCACTTTGCCAAATTTCAACTCAACTCACTCTCGCTGCGAGCCTTGTCTCCGACTAACACCCCGGTGTTTTCTATGGACCGCAAAGAGTCGGCTAATATTGCCATTTCGTCTGCTATGGCTTGTTTGAATATGGTACTGGAAGAGCCAGATATTCGCGACGCCATTGTTGGAGTTCCGATTTTCACCCACACGATGGTCACATTCTCCGCTGTGTTCCTCTTGAAAGTTGCAATAAATTGGAACTCTGCTTATCTCAGTCTCGACGGCCGCCAGGTGCGACGTCTGGTCGAGAGGGTGATTGAGCTGTTGAACTGTGTCTCGGCAGGGGAGAGACATCTGACGAGACATATTGCCCGGGGCCTTGGTAAGATGTTGGAGCGCTTCGACTCTTGGGACGCATGGCAAGCAGGAGGGGCACCTGTTGTAGCATCTGGGGGTGTTGAGCGAGCAGGTAGTAGTGATGTCCCTGGGGGTGCCAATGCCATGGCCCAGGGGTTTCCCCCACCGGATTTGATCTATGATATGGTTGGTACATACGGGTTTGGGTTAGATGAAAACCTCCTAGATCCTAGCATGGCTAGTTTCGAGTTTTTAGCACAATGAGCCATGCCCTGATACTGAGGGCCGTAAGAGTCAGACTATTGAGGTCACAGCACATCGTAATCTGGATTGCTTAATATAGATAGAGGGCTATAAAAGGCCACCTTCCGGCCAAATCAAGGTGCTTCCACATCTACCTCGTCGCCGCTAGAGACATCATGAACAGTTGCAGAAAATGCTTGGCTACGCCCCCGACTCTGTCTCTGGGCTTTCTTGCCTGTCGTCTTGTTGAGGATATCTTTCACCTGCTCGAGGGAATACCCGAGCTCCGCTTCAATGGCTGCTCTATACTCATGTTTCAGCTGCCTCTTCTGCCTCTCCTCCTCAAAAAGGCGCCGCTTCTCTGCCAACTTATAATCCTCTACTGCAGCACTCCGAATCTTCTTTTCATGATCAATGCGTTCGAATTCTTCGAGTTTCCGTCGCATCTCCTCGTCGCGCAGCTCCTTCCTAATCCTGGCCCGCATTTCCTCCTTTTCGATCTTCGTCTTCAACTCCTTCCAATCTTTCTCGAGCAACGCAGCTTCAACCCTCTCTTTCCTCTGCTCTTGCAAATGAGCTTCTTCTAACTTATGTTTCCTCAATAGCTCCTCGGTGCGCTTTTCGGCTCTCTTTGTTCCCCTTTCCCTTTCAGTCACATCTGGTCTCTTCAATCGCTCCGAAATATCTTTATCGTACGCTCGTTCCTCTGAAAGATGTCTTGCCTTTTCTTCCCTCTTGAGTCTATTGCGATGCCATTCTTTTCCGAGTCGGTTTATCTCTTTCTGCTTTTGGGGGATCTTACGGTCCTGCTTTGCGTCGAACGAGTACAGATCGGTTTTGGGAACCTCAATATGTCGGCGAGGAAATGATTTGTCTTTTTGAACGTTGCCTGTTGCTCGAGGCCGTTGATGACGGTACGGGAATTCCGAGTCAGATTCTGTATCTTCCGTGGCGTGGACGTTGTGAACTTCGCTTGAATGACGAGGTCTGAAAATCCGCCGGATATTTGGTGGTGACCTGGTAGAAGGCCGAAGATTTCGAGCCAGCGGTGGCTTTGAGGAAGGCTCATCAGGCGGCAAAGATGGGATGGCTTCTGCAGCGGGGTTTTGCTGACCATCTTGGACAGGACTTCTGTCCTTGGGCTGCCCCTTATTCGTCCCGGGAATCATCTCAACGATGCGCTCACCACTGGCCGTAATAACAATCCCAGGCGTCTCGCGTGCAGAATCCATGCCGGTGTGAGCTGTGCGGTGGTCGTTTGTTATCTACTAATTCACTGCTATGTTGGGAACTCAGCAGCGAGACCCTCAGGGGCGGTGATTTGGCGCCCAGCGCAGCACGAAAAAGTAGCCGACAATCACGCGGGTCTTTTGCTCAGCCATGCTGGAAACATTGCAACAGAGTGGCTGTACCTGGAGATTGGCCAATAGCCACTTGCTGGTTCCCAGCCTCGCGCGCAAATGTCCCAATCAGAGTTTACTCAGGTGCTCGGAGAAGTGACACTAGTATCCTAAGTGTTGACATGCACGTCTGCATCGAATCAGACATGGAAGGTAATTACTAGGCTTGGTCTCCACCCGCGCGTTTCTACAGGTTCTACGGGCTTTTCGAGAGAGGTTGTTATTGTTAAATGACCGCCACCCTTTGTTTTTTCTCATCGACTATTATGAAGTCTTCGCAATGCGCTTGTTCAACTGCTATATGCTATGGCTCTCTCGCCGAACTTTTAATCGCTTCTCCGAGCCGATTCTTGTGTGGACTTGGTTGTCATCCCAAAGAAATCCAGGAGCGCAGCCAGGATCTGGATTAAGGTTATCAAAGACGGATAGCGCGATAGGAGCATCAGCGCATTTTCAGGGCTGTCGGTTTTTCTGCCCTCTTTCTCGCCATGCCACTGTTCGGGTGGTCCGCTCGGTATTGCTGGAACAATCGAGCTCGAACTCGAACTCGGGTGCAGGACACTTATAGATGCCTGTAATTCTCCTCGGCCAACAGCTTGTGGTGCTCGAAAGGTGTACACGCCATCTCCAAGCTTAGATATGCACGCGTCTAGTGGGTCATTTGCACTGCAGGACTCTATAATGTCTACTAACGTTTCCGAGGAAGAAGACGAGTTGGAGCCTGATGATCTTCCTGTATCAGTATGGTGCCCAGTGCCTTCTGGGCCGGGCAAAAGGCCAGGTAGATTCCCAGTATATAAGTCTTCGGGCAGATTTTGTTCAGGCTGGACGTTGGCTAGTGTCGTGTTGGGAGGGTTCTCATTGCTCTCTGCGAACGATATTGGCAATGCGGCAGGAATTTGCACCGGAATGCGAAGGCAATTCTCTCTTTCCATAACCATGGGCAGATCCTGTGCGAGGCAGTCGAGTCGAGAGCCCGACGACTGCGTCACAACATTTGGATACACCAGGATATCACTGGATCCCTCGTCACCTGCATGACGAGATGGGAACCTCAACTGACGGGCCTTTTCTTTGAAGCGGCTCCTTCCCTTTTGCAGCTTCCCTTTAATCTCAACCCGCATGAGGAAAGGTCTCCCCTCGTGTTGAAACGCAAAGGCAGTATGAAATAGGTTGCTGTGAACTGATTGAGATTCGGGGTCCCCCTCACGTAGCTCCCACTCTATGGTGCGATATTCCAGGTCAGTCGTTTGCGCAGGGCGCAAGTTACCTGCGAACGTCCACCGACTATCGTAAGTAATCGACTTCTCGCTATCGACACCGATGCCACCACCGCCATTTCCAAGCACATTGACCTGGGGCGCAAGGTGCAAGATCGTTTTCTTGACCACATTCTTTGGATCTCCGCTAAGATATTTTGGTCCGTAGTGATCGGTCAGATTGAGGCGTACGGGCTTATACAGGTCATGCCGGTACCGAGGGGTGCCTTGTAAAGTGATCTTGACCGTAGCGCTTAGTAGCCTACAGTCGGCGGGCTGATCAAACGAGAGATCCATATAGACAATACCCGCCGGCCTCAATGCCTCCCCCAAGCATCCCCATTTGGACTGGGAGGTTCGGAGTTGGCAGTCAGCGCGTGCTCTGCCGATCTTACGGTGGCACACACTGGAATCCTGAAGGTTGTCAAGCTCAAGATATTTTCGACCATATCGTCGCGAATAAGTTGGCGGCGAGTCCCGGCTGACGGTGGTTGATGGAGTCTTTGTGGTCCGCGACATGATTCGGGGGATGGAAGCGAAACAGAACGTCAAAATCCCAATCACCGTGATTGTCAACACGGTTTAAATAGTTGGTTGGTTAACAGCCTGTTAGCTGGCTGTTGGAAGACGCCTGGCACTGCCACCGGACAAATCACCCACGCGGAGGCGCTAATGCAGACACGCAAGGCGAGGCTGAATTAGTACCTGAACTGGTAATCCTTGCGGGCCTCTTGCAAATGTGCTGTTGCTGCGCTATCACTTCTTCTACACAACTCTCTTAAAATGAACAACATCTGGCAAAGGCCTTCCTCTGGAATAAGGAGGCGATCTTCAGATCGGAAAGACACCTTCGACCGCTTTTCCTGGGATGAACGAGCGGCTCGCAGAAGGGCGCACAGCGCCCTCGTTGTTCACGAAAGGAATGCCCATTTATCCCATGCAGAAACTGTATCCCCGGAAGCACTTGTCGCCCGTGATGGTACAGCTCAGAGCAACGATAACAAGTTTCCTTCATCAAGTACCTTTCCTCAGGAGTTATTGATATCACAGGATGCACCACACAACGACGGGCCTACCATCTGGACGCCTTCGTCAACGAAAGATACCACCATCCATTATGATATGGACATCGTGGAGGACGTGGGAAGCCTATTAGAAGAGTTCTCGCGACTAAAAAGACTAGGCCATTTCCAGGAGGCGGAACAATACTTCGAAGATTCTTTATGTGCTTTTATGGAATTATCGCCAGTTACGATTGAGTTCGCAGACATGCTAGTCGAACAGGGCTCATATGAGCGTCTACATCGCGTTATGTCGCAGCATCAACAGCAGAAGCTAAATACCTCTGACGGCATCTCAAGCGTCCAGGAGGGCAGCCCTGCCAAATTCCTGTACCAAGCGAACTTGCAACTCGTACAAGGGTTTGCAGCCATGCAGTCCCACGGATCTCTGGACGAGGCATATAGAACGGTGCGATCTTTGGAGCGCCAAATGCGTTTGCTAAGGCGACGTCGGAGGAGAGACCCGAATCTGGACCTGGACTCGGCTGAAGTAAGACATTTCATCATCTTACTTACGCGATGGGCAAAGGCTAATGGTACAGACAGGTGCAAGTGATCCGCTATGCCCTCTTGACTCTATCGCAAGTTGAGCGAGAAACCGATCTGATCCCAGAACATGAATTCAGCTTCTGGTCCAATTGGCGCTATTTGTACAGTACTCTCGTGATTGAGGGGCGAGTGTGGGATGTGCGAGACCTGATGCTCGCTTCTATCCAAGCAGAAGGTGCAGAAAATGCTTGGAACTTGATATTCGGAGCAGAACTTGATGCTTCCAATGAGGCGTTCCGCAAGCTGAGGGACGACTGGTGTTTGCATCGGTATGATGAGTCAACGTATCTCGCTATTCTAGATATTCTAGTATCTCTGAGTCGCAGTTTGTCCTCATGGTCTATCTCGATACCAGAAAGACAGGACTTGCTCACAGCTCAACGATGTCTCCAATATGCGCAAGCCCTTGCAACATGCCTCAAGGAGAACAACCCGCCGCTGGTGAGATCCCGTCCTTACCTACAGTGGGTTATCGCCGAAGCAGAATTGGAGAGGAAGCTTCTACTCAATCCCTCAGATCTGCGAGACCACCTCGACAGATTTCCAGGCCTGACAGTATGGAGGGGCTCTGTTCCCATATATCTCCCAATCAAGACGGAGAACCCAAAGTGGACGGCACCCAAAGACGGGGGACGGCACTACGATTTTCTTGAAACCGTTCTTCAGACGGCGCAGGACCTGAAGGATCATAGAACCGAGGTTTTATGCTTGGGTGAGCTAATCTATCGTTCGGTAAACACGAGCGAAAGGTTGACTCGGCTATCCAATCTTCAGAAGTCCATCCAGGGGGATGTTCTCGGCTATCAGCAGACTTTCTTGTCGTGGTTTCTTCTTGCTCATACTGAACAAGATTATAAACTTCTTTTGGATGGCCTGAGAAGAATACGGGAACCAAAACGATCCGGGAGATCTATCTATTCTCTTAGTGACTGGTGTGCAATCGTCATCGAACGGGCTATTGCACATTGCCTAGCTGAAGATCTATCGCATTCGGAAGAAGCTTTCCAAGACTCTAAGGAGGACTTCTCCACCTACCTCCCGCAGTATATAAGAGATCGGTTGGAGGGGCTCGGCCTGGATAAGGTCTATTTTGCGCCCTCAAGGACTGGAAAGCCTCAGGATCCTGGAAGACGACAACGCAGTATTACAGATGTTTTGACACTGAAGCAGGATACTCAATCCCACCGTTCGCCTGAAGTTTCGAGTGACGAAGAAGCTCAAGAACAGTCCGAGCCACTTATCCTCTTGAGGCAGCCAAGTTGCACTTACACAGAACCAGAGGAAAGTGATGATGAGGATAGCGAGTCTACCACTGATAGTACCTTTGACACAGCTAGATCAGATCATGGTGGGGTGGATGATGAGCAGATCCACTCGACATCGCCTGTTCATAGCACTTCACAATTTGGACCAAGTGAGTAGAGAATCTGAATTAGTTTCATGGATCATCATTGACATTTCCCAGTTTCTAGAAGTGCGACTGTTGAAGATGCCAGTAGTAGCATATACGAGGATGAATGAGCGTGGGACTATGGATTGTAAAATTCAAACTTTGTGTACTCGACGGTCAGACTATATTCTGTATAGAACAATTTCCTCTTTTGAAGGGTTCGACGAACTCTCTGCTAGAGCGAACCGGGTTTGTAGATTTATAAGTCCTCTATATCTCTACAATTAGTATGTGCCGTGGAGACTATCCGATAGATCTTCTAGAAATTCATCTTATCAACACAGATAACTATATACAATACATGCAAGAACTTCACCTTTTCACATTCGACCAGTAAGCAGATCCAAAAGAATAGATCAAGAGCACCTCTTCCATACCTATTGTTTAAAGCACATCAGACAATGGAATGTTTGACTAGTTTGCAATAAATACAAACAGCTCCTCCTGACCACAATCCACCAATAATCGCATGTGATTCTAGTTTGTCCTGTTTGCTAGTGACGTAGAGCGATGGTTGTTGCAGCTCGTTCTACACCTCATTGAGCGCGATATTCATCCATCTGATGCATGTATCTCTCCGATTGAGAAAAGATGAGAAGGAATGCAAATATTCAGTACCCAGTCCTACAAATTTCTTGGTCTACCATTGATGAAGTATAAAGTATAAAGCATAAAGCAGAGCATCCCGCTCCAGCCTTCATACTTCCAACCCATCTCACTTCCAATCCCATCCCATCCCAACACCACTACTCACTACTCCAGTATACAAAAATGGCATCTCCCCAACCCACCACTCTCCCAATCGTAGCCATCGCCGGCGCAACCGGCCACCTAGGCAAACACGTCGCCTCAGCCTTCCTCACCTCCAACCTACGCAACCGCTTCTCCGAAATCATCCTCCTTTCGCGACAGAACAGCCATCATACACCACAACCACCACCAACCGACCTCCCCTCTGACAGCCCCAAACTCACCATCCGCACCTACACCGAAGATTCCATCCCCAGCATCACCCGCGCCCTCCACGGCGCTACCATCCTCATCAACACCATCGGCCCCTCGGGCCACTCTTTCAAAGAGAAACTCCTACATGCCATCCCCCAATCCTCCATCCAGGTGTACTTCCCCTCCGAATTCGGGGTGAATCACTACGTGCACGACTTCCCGCATCTAGAATGGGACGCGAAGAAGAAGCACATGGCGCTGGCGGAGCAGATACTACTACTTACCCAAGGCCCAAAGAAGGTGAAGATCTGTCGTGTCTTCTGTGGGTTGTTCCTGGAGGATAGTATGGGGCCGTGGTTTGGGTTTGATACGAAGCGCGGACGGTATGAGTGTGTTGGGAGGAGTAGTAGTAGTAGTAGTAGTAGTAGTAGTAGTAGTAGTAGTAGTAGTAGTAGTAGTAGTAGTAGTAGTAGTAGTAGTAGTAGTAGTAGTAGTAGTAGTAGTAGTAGTAGTAGTAGTAGTAGTAGTGAGGTGAAAGTGTCGTTTACTTCACTGGGGGATGTCGGGAGGTGTGTGGCTGCGTTGGCGAGTTTGGGGAGGGATGAGGTGCCTGAGGTGGTGCATGTTGCTGGCGATAGTAGGAGTGTTGGGGAGATTGCGGAGGTTATGGGGGAGTTTGGTGGTGGTGAGATTGAGGTGGTGGAGATTGGGTTGGAGGGGTATAAGAGGGAGGTGTTGGAGGGGTTGAAGGAGTCGTGGGACCCGGCGCCGTATTTGAGGTTTTTGATGGGTGAGGGCAAGATTATGCATACTGCTAGGGATGGTGGTGGGTTGGGGGATGATCGTGAGTTGGTTAATCCCGGGGAGAAGTTGTGGAAGTGGGAGACGCTGAGGGATTTGGCGAGGAGGGAGGCGGGGAGGCCTTGGGGGGATTATGTGTGGCCGCCGATGAAATAGAAAATATGGTTAGGGGTTAGACTACTATTTATTTAGGCTGCTAATGTATGTCTGTCTTGCATATGATGTTGCAGTAGTCGCAGTAAATGGTGAAATGGGGGTTGGACATCGGGTAATTTGCATGTCGCATGTAAGATTGCAGGTTCTGATGAATGAATTGGGGAAGCATCAGTGCCGCTGTGGGGGGATCAATCAATCTTGGTCTGTGCTTTTCCAGAAGAACTTCCGCATTGCGTTTAGCCTGCTTGCATGAAGTACGGAGTAAGTGGTAAGATTGCAGCATGTTTTGAAACAGATATTTATGTATGGGGGTATCGATACGCGCAGGATTTCAATCCTGACATCATGATTATTGCTGCTTCTGGTGTCCGGGCCGTACTTTTACTTCTTGCTTCCACGGCCTCGGATGGTTTATGAGCACACTGCCTTGGGGTATCATTATACCTGTCACAAACACCAAAATCACCAGAAACATCCCCCCTTTTGCCCCGGAGTGTCTGTGCGCGTCTTTCCCCATCCTGCTTGCTTGTGCTTGTATCTCGCCAGGCACGGTATTTCTCATGTTACCTCTACTTATGTAACCTCTACTTTACTTACCATACCTTGTGCTCACTTCTCTTCTCTTCCTTTTCGGATCTTTGTCTTTCTCACCCATCCATCCGTTTCTCTCCATCTCGGCCTTTTTCTCCAGTGTGGATTCTCCGATCCATCCACACACACTCTCTCTCTGTCTTGTCATGCAACACGGTCCGGATCATCACCAAGATAGCAAGAGTCATCGTCATGGATGGATCAACTCCGCCTCAGACCCAACGGATCATCCTCACCTGGGGCTGTTTCAATCCATGGTGAGCTGAGGGAAACCAAGCATCATCAATGCGAAGTTGTGTGGGTGGTACACGCACCCGCCCCTCTTGTCCACCCTCGGGCGACTCTAAACCCCACGGCCTGTGGTGGCTTATGTCGACGGCCAGCCGCGACAAGCACTTTGGGGGGGAACGAGCCGGCGCAACTCCAGCTCTCGTTTCTTCTTCTGTCTAGCTCCAACCCTCTTGACTGCCACTGCGCGCTTTTTCTTTGCGCAGGCAGGTGCCCATCCATGCTTGGGGAGGGAGGGTTACTGCTGACTCTCTCCGTCGCTGAAGTAATGCTCACCCATTCCGTCCCTTCCCCCTTCCCTCATGTGCTGGGGGAAAGGCTGCTGTTGCTCTGCTGCTCGTCCACTACCGAGTTCCTTCTGCCTGCCTTGCCCTGCCCTGCCCTTTAATTCTCCCTCCTCCCTCCCTCCCTCCCTCTCTTTCCCTCCTCTCTCTCCCTCTCTCCCTCATCTTTCTCCCGTTTCTTTCCCTCTCACTAGCCCGTTCATTCCCCTTTCGCTTTACTCTTATTGTCCCTGCATTGCGCCTTCCTGGCCTGGGACTCTCTTGACATCTGTATACTTGCGCCATTGGCCTGGCCTACTCCTTTATTTCTTAATTCACACTCTTAATCTCTCTCTATCCCTAAGCGCCTAACGCGCTTTGAGCTATGTCCACCCGTAAGAGAAAGCAAGAGGCTGAGGAGGAGGAAGAGCTCCAAGCGCTCCCTAGCGACGAGAGCGAGGAAGAAGAAGAGTAAGTCGCTTACTACATTGCCTATTGCCAGGTTGTTCGCGAAACTAGGCGCATTCTTTTTATTACCCTCTGCTGGCTCAGCTATCTGCCCTGCTTTCATTTCACCCTTGGGTGCCCTCTCTGCGCGCATCACTCATTGGTGCTTATTGGTGGCATTCAGTCGCGTTACCCTCTGCTTGCTGGCACCAATCAGTTGAACCTCATTTACTGTTTACCTTTACATTTCATGGATACAATGGCTGATTTGGTACTACTACAGATATGAGGACTCCGAAGTAGCCGAGAGCGAGGAAGGAGAGGAAGAGGGAAGCGAAGAAGAGGAGCTTGAAGAAGAAGAGGAGGGCGAAGAGGAACCAGAGGAACAAGGTGAGTTCATTCTTCTAGTCTCCAATCATGCTACCTATCTCTTGCTAACGAGTATTCTCCTCCTAGCAGCTCCTCCGGCTTCCAAGAAGCGAAAGACAGCTCCGGCGCCCGAACAAGAGGAGGAAGAAGAAGAGGGCAAGGAAAATGGCAAAGCTGAAAACGGTGATGATGAGAACGGCGTTGATGAGGAAGAGGAGGAAGCACCGGAAGGCGAGGAAGACGCCGAGGAAGCTCCTGAAGAGACAGCAAAGACCAGTGCCCCTGCCGCCGCTGCTAGCAAGGCTAAGGCTGGCGATGTACCTAAGGAAGCCGAAGCCGATGCTGCTGCAGAGGAGGAGTGAAGACCTTCCAGCAGGGCGTGATAATATGACCCGCCAGTATCGACTGCCGTCGCGCTGGCAACGTTTTATTGATAATTTTATGATCATTTGCGCGGATATAGTATCTAATGCACATGCTCCTATATCCTGAAGCTGAGGCAAAGCCATTGTTATCATTTTCATGTAGCTGTAACCACAACCTAAGCACAGAAGATGGGGGGTACGGAGGAGTCGGAACTATCTTTGGAGAAGCGCATGATGGCTACTCCGCACAGCGGCTTAGCCGGGACTTCCAGCTAGGTACTAATACTATTTGTCCATCTGGACAGATAGCTACTAGGGCAACCGAATCAACCTATCAGACGGAGCACAGCCTCTTTTGCGCAGTTCAACCACATCCTCAATTTCAACTGTAGCCTGGGTATTGATAGTATGGAAAACCAAATCATAAAGACAGAATAAAGTCAAGAATGAAAAAATAAAATTAAATAGAATCACACGAAGGAAATTGAAGTAAGTAGAAAGCGCATCACATCGAACAATAGGTGATATCGGTCAACCAAGTCCATACAGAATGTAAGTAGTAAGTAGTAGTAGGAAAGAAAGTAAGTTCTCTTTTCCCTCAACGCTTTCATATCCCTTGACTTTCACCCCCACTCTCTAATAGATACAATTTCCTCTCATTCTTCATTTCAACCGTCTGTCCTCTTCGCCTCTTTCCTTATTTCTTAGGTATCTTCTATATCATAAACCATAGGGAGTGGTAGGGAGAAGCAAAGGATGGAAGACAGGGTGATTATACACTACCTTCTTTGTAAAGGTAAGGTAGCGTAATTTATCCTAGGTTGAAGATTTAACCATCACTACCGCTGCTGCGGAATGTGGCGCACAGTTGGCAGTACTGATGGGTCAGATCGAGGACAGGTTGAGGAAGGTTCGTCGCTTGGACTATACTCCGGACTTTGACGGCGCCTTCGTCTTCGATGAGTTTGCGGATCAGGAATAGGAGGTCGGGAGAGAACTATATTGGAGAAGAGTGTATTGTTAATTTCATCTTTATCGTTGAGAACAAGGGGAATTGGGCACATACCTCGGAGTACCAGCGATACTGCCAAGCGATAAGACGGATCAAGGCGCCTAGCATTCCTCTCGTGTCATTCTTTTTCTCGTACAACTTGAGGAGCCCCCGCATGGCTTTTGGAGAGAAGCGGATGGCCAGACAGTGCTGATAGGCTTCGATGCCCTCGTCGAAATGGTGCAGGCGTTCGGCCAACTCGCCGAGAATTTCCCATTCCGTGGCGGATTTCTTGTACTCGATCGCCTGTTGGCGGTATTGGGCCATTTCGGTGCGCCAGATGGTGTAGATGCGGAGGTCTTCGTACAGCACCATGAAGAGGTTATCGAGCCATCTTTCACACAGACGCTTGTTGCGGAATTGTGTGTAGGATGAGTGTGAGGGGTCAGGCTAGTAACACGACGCGTTAGTATGGACTTGGGTGATTTTATTGAAGGTGGGATGTAGACTTACATCTTCGCTGCCGGATTTGACAACTTCCGATGCCATCGACTGCTCTGGTTTCTCAATGGAGTGCTCTGTTTCTTCTTCCTCGGTACCGTTCGCGCCCTCCTCAGACGTGCCGTTCTCCTGCTCGCTGCTTCCATTCGGCTCGTCTGATACGCTTGCTGAGGATGGTGTGGTTGTAGGCTTAGACGTAGACTGCTGGCGCTCAACACGGTATTCTTCTTCCATGACAAAGACTTCGCTGCGGATTTTCAGGAGTTGGTCCCAGCCTATCGCGGCAGCAATCTTGGTGAGGAGATTGTACGCCTTCAGGAAGGTTCCCTGATAGGCAGCAGCGTGGAGTCTGCGTAGTGAGGGGTGGACGTAATCGTGGGGATCACCCTGCTTGGGCTGTCCTTCGTCGATTTCGTCCAGCATGCTCTCAGCAAGAATTGGGAGCATGATGCGAGATGGTTGGGGCATACGAGGTGTGTCCTTATCCTGGTATGTGAACATGGGGCAGGAGTTCAAGGTCAGGAGGGCCAGATCCCATTGCTCGAGGCCAACGTAGACCTCTGCCAATCGTGCCCAGGTGCTGAACTCGCTTGGAGCAGCAGTCACTGCCCGCTTCGCACACTCTAGAGCCATCTCACCCTCGTTCTTGCCCTGACAGAAATTAGCCTGGCAGTCAAGCAAGGCATAATCCATGGGGACGTCTTGTAAGGCATCGAACATCAATCGCACGGCTTGCACCTCTTCGTCTGCCATGATGAGAACTCGGGCAAGAAGTGACGAGACCTCTACATCTCGTGTGCGAAGTTTCTCGAAAAGGTTGATGCCGGAAGTGTAGCGCCCCGTTGTTTGAATGTACTTCAGAAGACCGGACGTCAGGTGGTTGCTGACGGTATTCGGCACTTGTGTTTCCGGATCAGAACTGAGCTGTCTTCCTGTATATGGTATCAGCATTGGGGTCTGTTGGGAGTCAATTGTGGAAGCGCACCCAAGAAGAAGAGTCTCTCCGCAGCATCCAGGAATTTGTGCTCCATCTCCGTATTTGTGACCGGGTTGAACCGACGCACTCCGACTATTTTTCTGATCGCATCGCCACCACCATTGTCCGCGTATGAGTAGGCTCGCAGGATTCCGCAAAGAAAGGTCTCCAGCCAAAGGGCTTCCGTCGCAACTCGCTTGTCTCCGCGTTCATCGATGCAGTAGCTTTCCAGAGTGCCGGGGATTTTGACTTCGACGCGCATGTCCAGGTGGGAGAAGGCATTGTAGCAGCTGTTTGTCTATTAACATTTGCGCAACTAATAAACACTTTCAGACGAAGATGTTTCTAACCAATAGATTCCCGAAACCACCTTGTGTGTCTTGTCGAGCGGAGAGAAAGTAAGCGTATTTACATAGGCGGCTAAACTGGCGGAGGAAGAGGCATCGACACCGGTGACATGGTGATAAACGCCGGTCTGTATTTCGATCCCAAACCAATTGAGTTAGCCATTGTCATTCCCCATCCTCAAGTATGCCTGCGCTCGCACTTCCGACGACGTACCTGGTGATGGGCGTTGGTCTTGGGTTGTTTAACCAGATAAACCAAGTCCGGGGGACCTAATTCCCGGAGGTTCTGTAGGGACTCGGAACGGGCATCAACAGCGGCGTAGATGTTCTCCTCCTCCTCATAGATCCTGGGGAAACACTCAGGGGTCAGTCGCAGGTCAATGATAGTGGGCCCATTTGGCCGATTGATAGCGAGTGATAGAACACGTAAACGAGGGGAAGACATACTCGGGAACAGCTGGCGCGACCATGGCGCTGGCAGGAGCGCAGACAGAGGCTCTGGGATGGTCACAGGGGGGAAACCAAGGAGTATAGGGAGCACGAAGCGCTTTCACGACCGGGAGAAATTGAAGACAATGAGGCGCAGCAGAAAGCGCAGGTCGTTGTTCAAGACCAAACGGAATGGCGACGATCGATGAATGCCTGGTCGCTTCCTCAGGCAACTGCTGGGTCAGGTACCCCGGTACCGCCTTTGCCTCTTTCGGTAATTCCCGCCCGCGCAACGCGTGTCTGTCACGGGCTCTTTCTCCAGTTCCATTTATCGAGTCTCCAATTCTAGACTCTCCGTTCCTTCCATTCATCTTCCCAATCTCCACTCCACGTCATTACCACCTCCCCAAGTTGGGCCTTCCCTCAGGTAGCCCGGGGTTGCTTGTCTTTGCTTTTGAAATGTGGTATAGCCGGCCCGGTTTTACTACCACTATCAGGGAGCTCGTTGCGCCCTGCCATTAAACCGGCATTATGTCCAGCTGGGCAGCTTTGAATATTGAACCCGATGAGGCTATTGAGGAAGAAGTCGATGACACCAAGGAGATCCAAATTGAGGAGGCGCTTAAGCTGTACCAAAATGCCTTGAAGCTCCATTCTCAGGGTCCACAGTTCTATGCGCAGGCCGAAGAGGCATATGATGCTCTGCTGGATTCTGAGATATTCAAATATCCCGAGTCAATCTCTGATTATAGAAGAGTAGCCACTCAGGAATCTGAACCTCAGTATGATGACACAGTGGTGGCGGGTGCGACAGAAGCGCTCGCGGAGTTCGACATCAGTGACTCTACATCGAGCACGCTGATGCAAACCATATACCTATCGTACAAGAACCACGGACAGTATATCCTAGATGCGTTGCACGCATCTCTGCAGGGTATAACCGAATCTTCTAAGCTTTCTGGGGATCCCCGAAGCAAGGTCAAAGAGAAAACTAGCACAGCTTTGACGGCGTTTGCAGAAGCCCTGGAACGTGACGACTCGGATCTGAACCTCTGGAGACAGAGCGCAAGACTTTGTAGCGCTCTGCAAAGCTATAGACTAACACGATACTGCCTGGAAAGTGTACTAGCAGACGATGACAACCGCTTAGAGGTTCGGACAGAGCAGCTAGGGTTGGAAGAAACATTTGCCGAGGAGCGCCTGCGTGAAGTGCTGCGGTCGCTGCTTGATAGGTTGTCTGTGGCTCAAGTACCCTTGAAAAAGCCGAAAAAGGCCCTTCTCAAATTTCTGCAGCGCCAGGCAGACCCGTATCCCTACCTTCCCCCTCTTCCGTTAGATCTGCAGGACACAGATCCGTCGACGAACCCTCTTGCCTTAAAGGCTTCTCGTCATGAGATCAAACCAGCTAGCCCTACATGGGCCGATGTTGGCAAGTCGATACTTCAAAGCCTCACTGATGAAGAAGTCGGCGCGTCAGAGATCGGACCTGGGGCTTCAGTTGGCATATCGCTGCCTACTCTCAGTCCTGAAACAAAGGCCGTAGGGTCTCAACGCCGAGCCTCAGATGCTCAGGCCGCGGATGAGAAATCCAGCCAGCAGCAGGACGTCGTCATGTCGGAGGAGCATCAACCCACTATGAAGTCCGAAGGGCCCGATGTTGTGCCAGAGCAAGTCGATGACCATTCATCCATCGATCAGCGTGCAGAGAAACAGCTTATGGAGTCGCTAGAGATTCAGTCGACTCAGCCCGGTAATCCTGGAGGTCAGCATGAGATTGCAAATGCCGATGAGGTTGATGTGAAACCCTCAAATGGCCGGAAAAGATCATCTGCCTCTGCTGTTACGGAGGACCAGGCAGACCGTATACGGGCAAAAGCCAGGAGGACCCGCCTTCGTGAAGCTACTGAGGATGTCTCATTCCATAGTGAAGAGGTTAATCTCGACTTGAATAAATACTACGAGGATCGTCTTGAGAGTTTTACCCAAGCTGACGAATGGTTATTCGGTACTGTGGGTACTTTGCTATCCAATCTTGACGTAACAGACCTTGGAAGCATTGACGATCTGAGAAAACAAGTTTGCTCTACCAATGAGAGCAATGATTCTGCAACTACCGTGACTTGCGCTCCTGAGGGCGCAGGACACTTACTCGTCCGTGATTTGATGGATCTCATCAAGTCCTGGGATGAAGCCAAGTCCCATGCTATGCACCAGCCAGATAATCTTTCCACGCTTCAGGACATCCGGGGTATGGGAAAATCTGGTATTGCGATTTTCCTTGAGCATTCAAGAAAGTCGACCAGGAAATTAGGCATCAAACAAGTCCTCTCCGGAGAAGACGCACTCTACACGTTCCTAAGGACAGTTAATGACGGATGGCTTCCCTTGCACGATGTCGCCCTTTGCTGGCTCAAAGCGCTACTAATGCCCGACTTTGCGAGATATGCGACGGATGACATACTACAACAAGACGGGCCTGTCGTGGAGTCCGCGTATACCCTCTATCAATGGCCGGATACTCTGAAGGAAGCAGTCGTGCAACTCCTGCTGCATGAAGACGAATACATCTATAGACATATGCGCGAACAGATCGACAACCTTGAGAACAACGTTCTGTCCAATGGATCTGGAAGACTTGCATACAGCACACAATACTTGTCGGACTTGGAGATGCTTCAAACCCTCTTCGAGCTTCACCTCGACATCTATGCGTCTATCAACAATCCAAACAGTGAAATTGATGGTCAAACAAGGCTACTGCAGCGTGATCGCTTGGCAAGATGGTGCTTGCTCGCGCGGACATCGCTCACCCACTTCCTGGATCACAGCTCTCCTAGCCCCACTCGGGAAAGAATGGTACTCCGTCATATCTGGGCATCAACGTTCCATTCAAACATGGCTGGAGATATTCAGAGGGAGCACGTCCTACTTTGCCTCCAGGAGCTGAAGTTATTCTTGGTATCACTCAAAAACCCAGCCATAAGCCTGGTGAACAATGCGGTGATGCCCGAGCTGTCGACCGAGGCAGTTGATCAGGAGATCTCCAAGCTGAAGTCGATGGATTTCTTCATGAAAATATTTAACCCGACGTCGGACGACCCTGTTGGTCTGATCGAGACTATTGAGCCTATCCTCGAACCTTCCTCTGTCCAATTCGGCGAAGGTCTCGACGGAGAAGTATCTGAAAAGCCAACTTCTCAGCTCCTTGAGATGGCATCCTTTCTAGACCGCGGAGATGCTACCTTGAGGCTTTTCCTATGGAAGAGACTACAAGATGCGTACAAGAAGATTGAATATCCCCCTAAGGTCGTTTCCTGCTACCTCCGCAGCATTGAAATCATTATGAAGGAGCTTAGCACTCCTGCACATCTCGATGAGCCCGGTGACCATCGTCAGATCACTTTGCTCAGATGGCTCAAATCACTCGACGGCATTCTAAGCAAAGCTGTCACGATCGTCTTACATGAATCGGAAAAAGCGTATGAGTGCTTTGACATGGAACATTTAAGATCATCAATGTCTGCCGTCGCTCGTCTTACAAAGCTCCTCCACAGTTTTGCCCTGTACGAAGACTTGGTTCGTGTAGGTAAACTGTCAGGACCGGAGCTCCGTGGAGCATTGGCAAAGTCTCTGGAGGGTCTGAAAGATAAGCTGCGCGAGATGCAAGTCCGTTGCTGGATCTTGCAGTATACGCTACTGAAGGACGCCATTACACAGAATCCTGAAGCTTTCGATACACCCATGGAAGACCGCGTTCATTACTTACGGTCGGTACACAATGCCCTAGGGATTCGCAGGATGTGCAGGTTCTCCCATAAGCAATTTCTCAAACTGGTCAGGTCTGAGATATTCACTCTTGACGTGGAGCAGGACACCGAGCTGGATATCTGTCAAATCCTGTACGATATCTATGGTATCAAGTTGTCCCCGGTGGATGGTTCATTGAATGACCATGGATGTCCTCCCGAAAAGCTGGACCGCTCCACGGCGATCGTCATGGTGGACTTCGTCATGAAGCAGGCCAAGAAGATGAATATCAAGGACCTGTCAAAATCCGAGCTGAAATCTACTATAGACAAGATGCAGCAAGCCATCGGTACTACGAAGTCGTCGCCTCCGCTATCATACAACAAGCGTATCATCACCGCCTACTTGAAGTCACCAATCAATCCTTCTGAGATATCCCGTGCCATTCAGGGAGTGGCTGACCTCCCACTAATTCCTGTACCTGCAGAAAGTGCAGTTATTGCTCAAAACGGCTGGTATTTCCTTCTGGGTCATGCTGCTTTGACAAAGTTTCGCTCCCAGAAGCGTCTGAACCCCGTACCCACAACGGATCTCGACGATGCAATCGTATGGTTCAGACAAGATTTGGAGCACGGGACGTCAAGATGGGAGACCTGGTACCGGCTCGCCCAGACGTATGACTCGAAGCTTGAGGAGGATATTACCTGGTCTGCTGATAAGATCAATAACAATCGGATGGAGTTGGTCACCTGGCAACGCAACGCAATTCATTGCTACGCAATGGCAATTGCAACAGCTATTAAATACTCAGAACCAACAGCTGAGACTCGCGCAATGCTCTCAGATCTGTTCACTGATTTTGGTATACGTCTATACTCTTCTTCGCGAGCGCCCCTATCGATGGGGGCTTTCAGTCTAGCTGATTTCACGCGGCATTTTAGTGGCGAGGAAGACCAGCGGATGTATGAAGGAAGGCCTTTTAGGGAGATGAAGCTTTATACCGTCTGGAATCTTGCCAGCTACTTGCTTAAGCGTGCTCTTGTCGACAAGCCCAAGAATTGGATGTATGTCACCCTGTTATTCCGCCGATGATCTCTCACAAGCTAACTGCAACTTAGGACTCATTATATGCGGAGTAAATGCCTCTGGAAGATGTTCAGCTGTGATGAATCTGTTAGAGGTTCTTTTAAACGGATTGAAGTCGATGTGGTCTTGGATTCCCTGCTCGATGCCATCGATGCCCTGCCCCAGCGGAGGGATTCACGCTCTGATCCTATATTTGAGCCACATTATAAGCTTGTCTCGGTAGTACACAAGCTTGTGCATCGTGGGACTCTAACGGTATGCGAGTCTCTATTCTCAAACCTGTTGACATGACTGACTCACCACTCAGGCTGCGGAGGGAAGCAAGACGCTCCTGGCAACACCTTGGGCTCGCAAAGTCCAGCCTCCGGAAGACCAGACGGCATGGAAGAGATACATACTCGAGGTGCTTCGGAGCCTGCAGAAAGCGGACAAATCAAATTGGCACCATCGTATGGCTGTCAGGGTACGTACACTCTCGTATAGCATGTATCATACTGAGCAATTTCTGACTGTGTCTAGGCTGCACATATTATGTACGATGACGACAAAGACTCTGCAGATGCAGCCACCTCCGCAAAGAACGAGCTTACCCAGCAGATCTTCACCAAAACAATGACAATCCAGGTCTGGAGACCTGAGTTTGAGCGGCCTGGTCGGCATTTCGTTTACACCACACGCTACGCTTACTTCTTCGTCAACCTCCTCGACCAGCTCAATGATCGAGCAAACCTCGACCAATTACTGCGCCGAGTAAGGAAGAAGCAGGGGGATTTTATCAATCACAGCAAGCTTTGGGAGGATGCGTGTCTTACCTATGCCAGGGTAATTCGGAGAGCTGGCCATATCAGCGAGGGCCATGAAGAGGGCGTATTCAAGCCCATTGGTTGGGAAGAATTTGTCGCAAACACAGCCCGTTTGGAAGGCCTTGCACAATTATCCCCAGAAAGCCCATCCCTTCTTGAACTCCTTCGAGATGCTATTGAGCTGAAAAAGCTCAACAACAACCTTATGAAGGTCTCGTTGCTCGAAGACCTTATTGCAGACCTCTACGCCCGACTTTACGAAGTCAACATGCCACAAGTCATCGAACAAGCGAATGAAGAGAATAAAGAGAAGATGAAAGTCGATCATCTTCTCATGGTCAGTGACGGAGCTGCCGATACTTCTACGCCTCCAACCTCAGCCCCAGCCTCTGAAGCACCTGCACCTCGCGGTCGTACAAAGGGTATCGCACGACGTGACATCCAAAAACGAGCCGAGACGATTGTCAATCGTAAAGTGCCTCCGCGTGCACCCATGGCCAAAACTTCTGCCAACACAGAAGCCGAACAAGCCAACATCTCCGAAGCTGGTCCAACCTCCGCTCCCAGGCAGACAAACAAATCAGGGTTGCTTGAACCTGGAACTGAAGATGTCGGATCAGGACAGCAGAGCGATATTCCCAACAGCCTGCATGATAGCGCGGATGATGAGAGCGAACTCAGCGAAATGGACGACGAGAGACTGGCCAAGCTGACAACTGAACGCAAGTTACTGTTCCCTAACCTCGATGACCGGGGTTCCATGGATCCGGAGTCGGAGATGTCTGCCCAGGCCAGTGCCGATGGGGATGAAGGGCAAGACATGGAGGGAGATACCGAGCTTGTAGAGGGCGAAGGCGAGACTATGGTCGAAGAAGGCGAAGACCCTGGCGACGGTGACGATGATGAAATGGAAGGCGAAGAAGAGAATGAAAATGAAGCTGGCGGGGACGAAGACATGGAAGGTGAAGGCGAAGATGAAGGGGAGGGGGAGGGGGATCCGGAAGAGGATGAAGATGGCAACGATATCACCGAAATGGAAGGTGCGCAGGATAATGACGAGATGGACGACGTTGAGCAGGCCGAGATTCCCGGAACAGATCAGGAAAGCGAAGCTGGTTCTGAACCGGAAGTAATGGAAACATAAATGATGGTTAACCATCGTGCGAGTGTCGAATCATTCGTGCTCATGTTTGATATGACCATTTGACTTTCGAAGTATGCGTTAGGGTCTCATGTACTTCATGGCGTGCAACGAACGGTAGGCGTTCAAGGAGGTACTTCTCAACAAGCTTCATGTATCATAGAGAACTATTAATATTATAACAAGAAAGGGGAATATTGGTATCAACAAGATAATCCACCAGAACGCCTGATACATCCTTCCTAACCGTTACACCATCAAGCAAGTAATTATGTCCAACGAAAGGTATCCTGCCAAACGTATACAAGAAGACAGCATTCTTTCGGCAACAGTTTAGATATCTTCCTCGGGAGCCAAGTCCCATTTCCGAGTCGCCATCTTTCTCTGCCTCTTGCCGGGTGAACCAGTAGGCTGCGGAGCAGGAGAAAACATGCTATCCGCAAGCTTCAGCTGGTCCATTCGCTTGAGAGCGACCTCGATGTCACTTTCGCGTCCAAGGATGTTGGAGTTGCGAGAAGTCTCCAGAGTATTCTTCGACCGGGACTTCTTGGTAGGAGAGCGGCAATTCAGCTCGCGTTCCAGGGCTGCAATCTTGCTGCGAAGCTGGTCGTTCTCGAACTCGAGATCTTCGACCCGCTCGTCTGAGGATGGTTGCGGGTCTTCGTGAACTGGAGAGGTTGTGAGCATCTTCAGTGGGAGGATGTTTGTGGCCACAACTTACTTTGAAATCCTCGGGACACGATTTCAATCTTCTTGTCGAGATGCTCGTCATTGAAACCAGACTGGTTTGATTAGTATGCGGTGGATTAGACTGCACTCGAATGAGACTTACTTGTTGATCCAAGGCATTTTGCCATCTCTTTCGCTCCTCTTCCATTCGCTCGTCCATCTCATTCCAACATTCTTCGCGCACTTCTTGCTCGATCATGATGCATCGTTCTTCGCTTGCCTTGAGTCTCAGCTCGAAATCGGTCCTGAGTATCTCTTCTTCAGCAAGTCTCACTGAGAGAGATTCATTCTCTGCCGTTAGTCTTGCGATCTCTGCCAGGGCCTTCTCAAGCTCTTCGTTTGTGCCCATGCTGGGAGTGTTGCGTCCACTAGCGGATCCGTGACGAGATCCAAGCGTGCTGGACAAGATAGACTCGGCAATTGAGGGAGCTCTAGGTACGGCAACTTCACGAGCCAATGCCGAGTAACGCAGGATTTGGGAAGTCGCGTTGTAGTCACCCATAGGATCGGCAGTGACTATCATAATGGCCTTCTGTGGGTGACGGTTGAGGCCAGTAGCCTGGTTGGAAGACGGGAAGGAGTTCGAGAAAAGTAGTTCAGTGAGTTTGCATTGTCTGAACGGAACCATGGCAGCCTATATATGTTAGCAGCCTTTCGGGAACTGATAACAATTCTGTGTTGTAGCATACCTTATTTCCGTCCTGTATGTCACTCTGCATCTGAAGGCATTGCCCAAGGTACATCAAACTCTCGTTGATCTTGCCGGCCTCTGCAAGGGTCGAACCAGCCGTTTTAGCAGTTCGCGCGCGCTCAGAACCTGTTCGTGTTAGCTTTATGACAGCAAGCGAAGAGTCATACTAACCAGCAAGATCTGCCACCGTGAGGGTGTTGCCTATCCAAGTTTCTTCGCCAGTCCTCTTGTTTCGCATTCTTCTTTTGACTTCCAAACAGAAGAAACCATGACTGCGAGAGCTGACGCTGTTGGCTCCGGTTCCAGTGACCTTGCGCTCAGTAAGGCCAACTTCAAGCACCGACAGAGCCTCCTCGTAGGTACTGCATGCTATCTTGCGTAGTCCCGCAACAACCTTCCGGTCAGGGGACCCTTCCGTTGGCTTGAAGAACAATGCCCTGCGTCGGTCCTTCTGCGCATTGCCTCCCTGACGGGACATAGTACTTCCCTGGCCAGGTACTATAGCGGGTGACAGCAGATCAAAGATGCGATCATTATAAACTTCGTACATTGACACCAGGACGACATATTCGGAGTTAGGGTTGAGCTCCATGGTGAGGTGACTGACATCAGGCGAGCGAAGCAGGCCGTTGGGACGTTGGGGCATATTGCGACGGGGGAATATAAGTGCAGGTGTCGGTTCCTTTGCCGGTTGAGACATGTTAGCACGAGCGGTTTTACCAGTAGTCAAGTGAGTGCACGAGTCGTGCTTCATCTTTTCTCTCAATTTAGGATGCATGGAGAGAAGATTGATGTAGCAAGTTCTCGAGAGAGATTCGCTGTATATTTTGGAATAGGGACCAGTGTGGGCTGCGGCTAAGGGGGAAAACCGTGCGGTGCCTTGCAGCGGAGCTTTGGGGGGAGGGCGCCATACCGTCATAGGGGTAGCTCTTCCAGTACTCATCGGCGTTTGGGCTCTTGAGTTCCTTCCACGTTCGGCAGGGTCGCCATACACAGCCTCGAGGAATGTCTGCGCCGTGAACATTTGGGCTTCGGAAGCGTCTGACGCGGCCACAGTCGACAGAAGAAGAGGGCTAATGGAATTGTCGGGTGGCCTGATAGTCGAGGCCAAGGAATTGAAGATAAGGTCAAGACTCATCTGAGTAATTCCTCGTTGCGACTTCGAACCTAGGATTGTATGGCTCTGCAGGTTGTCCTTGTCAGTACATGTTCAAGGTCACTCATGGTGATGCGGTGGACTCGACCTTTCCGCTACCTGTTACTCCCAACGTTGCAATAAGGCTGTCCCTACCCTCAACCAATACACCCCTGATCAGAGACTCCAACTCGGTGCCATGGAAGACGTCTAGCTGAGACGCTGACTCTTCGAACACCTTGGTGAAGCCGAACCTTTCAACGGCACGCTTTCGCGCATCGGATGGGGGTTGCAGGGTGATATGGGTGGGAGAGGCGGCTGCCGTCTCCTGGTCATCTTCAACGGCGACCTTTGGCTCTGGAGTCTCGATTGTCAAGCATCGTTCAGCGTGCTCCTCCAAATGCTGCGGCATAGGTGGCCGCAGGCGGAGGTACACCTGGAATAGAGATGCGGGGGAGGACTTTGTCGAGCTCATGGTGGGTAGCAGTCCACGTTGTCTGTTCACATTCGATTGAACAGAGTGGAGTAACTGCGAGATGTCGTGCGTCTTTGGGCGGATATGAGGTCCAGATCGAAGCACCATCGAAGCTGGAGAAGGCGAGACTTTCCCCAGGCCAGCAATCACGTTATGTTGACTTTGCCCTTTCGGGTTGGTGTCGTGTTGTCCTGACAACTGGTGGCGCATGATGTAAGCTCGTATTTGTGTGCCTGCAGATTCAGGCGGGAAATAGAGTTTCTAGTGCGAAAGATGGCCTTAGTGCCTGAAGTTGCGCCCGGCTCAGCCTTGCTCGTATTCGCTACTCTTGGCGCTTGTTGTAATCCAGCAACTATCTACTACGTAACTTCATAAGCCAGGTGGTGGCCCATGTGACGTGCCATTGTCTTTGTGAGATACCACATCTGGTTCTCAGCCATCGCATGTGGAGCCGCGTAGGAAATTCAGGGTCTTTATTGCAGTACCCAAAGTCAATAAGGTTGAGGCGATGTTTTCGCGGGCCCAATAAGCCAATCTCCCAGGCTCATGGCTTGGATCAGGCACTAACCCAAAACGGTGTGCTCGTTTTCGCTTGTTCGTCTAGCAGTCAGAGGCTGAAGATGTGAAGACCGTATATATACAGGGTAGATGAACGAAGATGGAGCAAATATCATGCTATCACATTTTAGTTCTTCTATCACAACCGCTTGCTTCAGTTTCAGTGTTACATAGTCAGAACGGTACAGGATGATGCTTGACAAAAGATCCCCTTATCGTATGGAACCCCTACCCGCCAAGCCTACACATACTCTATATAGTATACACTAACGCCAAGAAGAGGAGGGAAGTCTCTGGTACTATGCGCCCAACCAAGGAGCACCCATCTCTTTCGCAATAATGTTTGCTGTCTCTGGGATGGTACACATTTACCAATGTTGGTATGCATGCTCACCCAAGTGCTATTACCATACAGTTCCTCACGATGATGACAGCCAGTACAAGTCTTGGAAAGTGACCGGTCTCCTACCATGGTCTGCTCTTCTCTTTACAGCTGGGTTCATAACGCGTACTATCGGCGCCTTTGGACAGTGGGGGAATGTGGGAATCTACATTGCGAGCACCGTTCTGTTGCTGGCTGCACCGTGAGTGCTTATTGATGCGGATTGATAATGAATGCCACTGACTGGCGTACAGACCCGTCTATGAGGGCGCCAACTACTTCACTCTGGGCCGCATCCTTTACTACATCCCATACCATTCGCCAATTCATCCTGGGCGCGTTTTCACCACTTTTGTGGCGGTTGGTGTTGTGATCGAAGCTATCACCGGCAACGGGGCTGCGCTGGTTGCCAACTCTGAGGCGACGGAAGGCAAGAGAAAGACAGGAGAGGGATTGCTTAAAGCAGCTCTGATCCTGCAACTTGTGCTTATGGCTGCCTTTGTTGCCTTGGCTGCCAGATTCCACTACAATTGTCATCGTGGTGGTGTCTTGAACGGCAAGATCAAGCGGGCCTTGTATGTGTTGTATTGCAGTTGCACCCTCATTACTGTGCGCACGATCTACCGGACGGTGGAATATTTCAGCGCCACGAGTCTCAATATCTATAGTGGTGGCAACCAGATTAGCCCAATCCTCAAGGATGAGTGGTTTTTCTGGATTTTTGAGGCTGTTGTCATGTACCTGAATACCGTCTTGCTGAATGTCTGCCATCCGATGCAGTGGCTTCCACGCTCCAACAAAATATATCTTGCCAGGGATGGTGTTACCGAGATCGAAGGTCCTGGTTATGACGATCACCGACCAGTCATCTGGACCCTTATTGATCCCTTCGACATTGTTGGTCTTATCAAGCACAAAGGTAAACAGGAGAAGTATTGGGAAGATGAGACAGTCAGCAAGCTCAGCAAAGGTTCACCTGGACCATCTGCTGTGTAGCTAAAAGCGGGTTGGTAAATAGTATGCAGTTATTCTTGGGCCATGTTTGACAGTGACGGCGTTTGGTCTTTTTATAGAATACTTGTCGCGATGATATCTAACGATATTTCTTATTTACCAGTGTTGATGTATCGCAATTCCATCTGGAGAATCTGTAATAGTAAATAAACTAAGTGGAAAGGGGATTGATTGATTGACGCTGACGTCTTCCACTGCGACCAGCCGA